AGAATCAAGCACAACACCAGTGGTACGTCCGGAAGCGTAGAGAGAAAGCACGGCTTGGATGGCCACATACATAGCAGGAGTGTTAAAGGTTTCAAACATGATCTGAGTCATCTTTTCTCTGTTAGCTTTGGGGTTCAAAGGGGCTTCAGTCAGCAGAACGGGGTGTTCTTCTGGGGCAACACGGAGCTCATTGTAGAAAGTGTGGTGCCAGATTTTCTCCATATCATCCCAATTCGTAACGATACCGTGCTCAATGGGGTACTTCAATGTGAGAATACCTAGAACAGCAAACACTCATAATTCGCTCTCCCTCGATACTGCACGACGCTTCTCCAAAATGGATAGCGTGAATTGAACGCACGACTGTACCTCTCTTCGATTGAGCTTCATCTCCGACGTACGAGTCCTTCTGCCCCATACCAACCATGACACCCTGGTGACGAGGACGCCCAACGATGGACGGGAATACAGCTCGCGGAGCATCATCTCCGGCGAAACCGGCCTGAAAATAATGACTTATATAACAGCAATGTGCAGATTCGGTAACAATCCCAATTGACCAGTTGTTTTGTTCACAATCTTCCCTCTAAGGACGAGGAGAACTCAGATTTGAACAGAATTTCGAAAGAGTGCAATGGCACGGTACATAAAGCGAACATCTGTGCGCTATGTGTGTTTTATGAGCGACAGCAGCAGATGTGGCACAGGAAGGCAGGGGGCAAGCCTGGCCAGAGCTACTCTAGGCGAACCAGCGCAACTGTGTGTATTTGCCGAGCCGACCTTTTCCAAGAAAAGCTCAGGGTGTAATGCCGCGCACTCAGCAAATAACGACCTCCCTCGCCTCCTGCTCCACCGAATTAGCATACAGTCCATCTCCTCGAACGTGTGCTCGATCGATCGATTGCCGCAAAACTGTCGAGGACTGTCATCAAGAAACGTCCGAGAACCAATCGGCCTTGACTAACGCATCCCATCACACAAACGCACACCATACACACGTACATATACATACAAAGAACGCGGGACGCGATCCCTCCACCCTATTTTCTTGCGCATGCGCAATGACTAGACCCGGAGGACAGCGGGACACGCGCACTGCAGTGGCGTTGTCTCACATTCCTCGCCAGCTTGTCGCGCGTAGTAACTTGAACAAGCAAACATGAACGCCTTGGAGCCAACCTGTGGACAGGTGTCTCATGTAAAAACTGTCACGAATTACCGATTATATAGCCCAAAGTACAGACTTAGGAGAGCATAAGTATGTGATAATAAATTCTAACCAAAGGCAACGAGTGCATCGTAATGGGTGTTTTGAATGCACCTCTGCAAACTAGGGAATCGCAGCGTATTTGAAAATCGAAAAACGCGGGAGAAATAAGTGCACGTCCCCGCAAGGGGCAAAGTTGGAGAGGA